TTCCCCAGCTATGGGTAAATAGCAGGACAGACGGGGTTCTATAGCCTTGGATGGCAACTTGTTGTAATGGAATGTCCAACACTCCCTATCGCCTATATGGACTGACTCAATCAGTAGCTATATATAGTGAACACAGGATATACCTGGGGGCTTGCTTCAGGAATTACTAGCCTGCCACCTGGTTTTTGTCTTTCAGTAGTGTATTCTCTTTTACAATAAACTTCTTTATTTCATGTTATATTTCGCTTGTTGTTGTTCCTTCATCAAGTACCACCTTTGACTTTTGTAACCTCTTAAATAAAATACAACACAACTGGTCTATTTGAAAAAAATGGCAACCTACTTTAAAAAAAAATCTGCCTCATCAACTTATGTATTGAAAGATACATGATCAACCTAAGCATGTATAACACATTTATATTTTATTTAAAAAAAATTTTTTTCATGGTGATTAACATTCAATACCAATCAGATATTTTTTTTGGGTGAACCATCCCTCAGCTACAACTAATAGTGTAAGGCTCTCCTGATGCACTGCAACTCCTCCCTCTTTATATTCCAGTCCCGAGCAACTTCCATTTCACAAGATTCTTCAATAAAATTTCCATAAAAATGAATATGCAATATATTAACCAATTTCTTATCAAATACAGCGACTCTCTTGGCTTGAAGTGGTAAGTAACAATCTGTTGTTTCACTCAATACTTATTACAATTTAAACATTGTTTTGTATATGATGGAAACATCTTTCTGTATGCTGAGGATTGAAACCATTTTGTTCTGTGCAGATATAAACAAACAGCCATTGCTACGAAATATCCTGAATTTCAAAGACTAGCCGCATCACTAGTTTTGATCTTTGAAATGGGTACTAAGTTTGATTTCATGGATAAAAAGAAATATTTGGCAAACTTTGATTTTTTGTATTGATTGAAAAAAGGAGGTGTCATTTTATTTTTTACCATTTTGACAAAAAAACTATTATTATTATTCTTGTCATAAAGTTTGTATAACACTCATAATCCTGGTTACTAATACTGTAAAGAAACAGTGGAACAAATAGCTGAGTGAAGAACAGGTTTAATCACAAGTGACATGAATTAATATTACAGTAATGGAGAATACAGTAGTTGAGTGCAGCAATGTATACAACTAAATACAGCTTCTTGCAACCCACTTTGTGATGACTGTTTAAAAAATGTAAAAGCAGATGATAAATTTATTGTTTTTAAAAGTGATGATTATAACTGTAATAAAACCTAAACATATGAAAGTGAATTTATACATTTTTTTTGTTCTTGAGAATTGACAACAAAAATGTATTTATTTATTAAGTTGTTTATTTACACTATTTATTAGATTGTTTATTGGAATGGTTGGCAAAACATTGGTTAATTGCCAATTGATTCAAACTTTATAAAATGGTAAATAATAAGGATCTATTTATAATTGGTTTTGCATATTTTAAAGATTTTAGTTAATGTTTATAAATTTATGAATAAAAAATTATTTTCATATTTACTTTTTATAAATTGGTAAATGATAAATATTGCATTGAATTAATTTTAATTGTATTAGTTTTTAGAATGTTGTAAATATAAAATTATTCTTCTAAATAAAGGAATAAATATTGTTAAATATTTTTGTTGTAATTCTCAACAAAAAAATGTTTAAGTTCACTTTCACCATATGTTTAGGTTTTATTATAATTCTAATTACTACTTTTTAAAACAATAAACATTGCTGAGGAGTGAAGGTAGTTAAAATAATAGTGGTGTCAAGGGAAACACCACCCTTTTGACAACCTGTTTTTTTTTTTTCTTTAAACAAAAGGTTCAATTTTTTTTTTTTAAAAGTTTTAAAATTTATAAAACACTGAATTGCAAAATAATTTCCAGGTACCACAGTACTACTTAAATAGAATTTGATAAATTCATAAAAAAAAAAAATATACATATAATTAACAAAAATCTTGGTTTCAATATGTAATAATCCCAAGGAAAGATGAAATCCATCAAGCTAAATATTATTCCAGAGCTAATAATTAAAAAGAAAAACAAACCACTTTAATTCCATTGTAATAGTTTATTTCATTAGAAACTTTAAGAAAACAAAAATCCTCATGTTTCAAATTTCAAAAGTTGAAACGAAAATGAAATTAATGTTTTGAAAAATAAAAAATAAAAAAAAATTAAAATTTTCAAACACACTGGATTTTATATTAAATTTTTTGTTTTATTATTTCAATTGACAATTATATATATATATATATATATATATATATATTTAAAGTATAGCAATTAAGATAATTATATATGGATGAATTCCAATAACCAATCTTTTTATTCTTAAAAAGAAATGCATCAATACAAAATAGAGCAGATATAATTATTATTTTGTTGAAACAAAATTTTATTTTATTAGTATTTTTATAACATATTTATATATATATATATATATATATATATATATATGTGTGTATAAAATTTTTCAGGCCATCTTCATAAATTTTGTAGATTAATATTCAGCCAAATTTCTGAAATTTTGGAAAGACGTTTGTCAGAATCAAAAATTAGTGATTTTTATTGATTTACAAAGATGAAGATCCTGCTCATAATATTGATACAGTAACAAAATCACTATTGACTTTTACAGTTATCTTTTTTTTCTTTTTAATGTTCATTCAATATAAGGCCCAAGAAATTTTGAAGAAACAGAGCACATTGTGTTGCATATAATTATTATAAACATAAGAAAGGGCAAAATGTGAAGTTTGAAGGTCACTGATGAAAAATCACATTGATTTGCAATGTGCATCCAAATTGAAACAAATCTAATAATAAAAAAGGAATTAATGTACAAACTATTCAGCTGACAGGCACTGAATTTTCAGCTCAAAAACATACAATATTCCTTACACTAGCCATGAAACATAAAGAAATAAAAGCATAATAGATGGCTGTTAGCTTTCATTCCAGAGGAAACAAACATAAAGAGGTTATTCTCAAAACAACTACAAAACAAGTTAGAAGTTAAATTAGTCTCATAAAGCATTTTCAAGTCATGGGTTATATATATTTTGCAGCCAAATCAACATGGTGGGTGTGTGTAAAGGAAGCCTTTTAAGATATAAAAACAAAGCCTAATTTTGTCAGGTTTATTTAAAAATTCAGAGTTTTCCTTTTCATTTTAGACTGAATTTCCATCTTTTATTTGAAGAATACAGTCATTTGAAAATTTATTTAACAAAAAAAGAGAAAAGATGGATTCATAATAAACAAAAGCATTATTAAAAAATGAACACAGTTTTTTTTTTTCATTTGATTTTTAATTTGTCAATTTTTTAAATATATAGAATATTATATTTTAAATATATAGTTGATATTTTAACAATGTAACAATCACTCAATTTTTCACCATTCAAGATCCTTTTTCTATACCCCTGATGAATTCTTAAAGTTCAAAAAGTCATCTTTGGACAAAATCATAACTTTCATGTTGAAATGGTGAAAACAATGAAAATGCATGTCCTAAAAGGAATATAGATTCAGCAGAGTCAAAGAATAGAAGAGTGATGAAAGTAGAATAAAGAAATAAAGAGGAACAAAAGAAGAAGAAGAGAGAGGAATGAAATGTAGAAGAAAGAAAGGTAATAGAAGAAAGAAGAAAAAAGAAAAAGAAAGGAAAAAGAAAAGAAAAAAGAAAGGAAAAAAAAGGAAAAGGAAAAAAAAAGGAAAAAGAAAGGAAAAGGAAAAAAAAATGGAAAAGAAAGGAAAAAAAATTTGAAAAAGACAAAGAAAAAAAATAAAGAGGAACAAAAAAAAAAGAAAGAAAAAATGAAAAAAAAAGAAAGAAATTTAAAAAAAATAAAGAAGAAAAATGAAAAAAGAAAGAAAAAAAAAAAAAAAAGTTTTTGGAAAAGAATCAAAGAAAAGAAAATTTCAAAAAAAATTATTCAAAAGGATGAAAGGAAAAAGAAAGGAAAAAAAAAAGAAAAGAAAAAAAAGGAAAAGGAAAAAAAAAATAAAAGTGGAAACTTGAAAAGAAAATTTTTCAAAAGGAAAAAAAAGAAAAGGATTTAAAAAAAAAAAGTTTTAAAAAAAAAGAAAAAATCAAAGGGAAAGGAAAAATTAAAAGAAAAAAAGAAAAAAAAAAAAGAAAATTTGAAATACAGAAAAAAAAAAATAAAAGGAAAGAAATTTAAATAGATTTTTAAAAAAAAGAAAAGGAAAAAAAGAAAAAAAGGAAAAAGAAAAGGAAAAAAACAATAAATAAAAGGAAAAAAAACCTCAAAAGAAAAGAAAGGAAAAAAAGAAAAAAAAAAGAAAATATGACATGTGTTAAAGGATTTAAAAAAAGTATTGTCAAAAAATGGAAAAGAAAATGAAAAATAAAAAAAAAAAAAAAAAAAAAATTCTCTAGGAACAAAAGAAGAAAAGAAATTTTAAAACAAAAAAAGAAAGGTAGTTGATAAGAAAAAAGAAATTGAAGCAAAAAGAAAAAGAATCAAAGAAGAAAAAAAAAAGGAATCAAAAAAGGAAAAGGAAAAAAAGAAAGGAAAATATTTTTAAGGAAACTAAAAAGATAAAGAAAGGAAAAGAAAAGGAAAAAAAGAAAAGGAAAAGAAAAAAAACCTTTGAAAAAGAAAAGAAAAAAAATAAAAAAAAAAAAATCTAAAAAAAAGAAAAGGAAAAAAAAAATGAAAAGGAAAATAAAAAGGAAAAGGAAAAGGAAAACCTAAAGGAAAAAGAAAAGAAAAAATTTTAAAGATTCTCTTTGTTAAAAAAAACAAATTCAAAATTTTAAAAAAAAAAAAGGAAAAAAAGCTAAAAAAAAAAAAAAAAAAAAAAAAAAAAATAGCTTTGAAAAAAAAAGAAAATCAAAAGGAAAAAAAAAAGAAAGGAAAAGGAAAAGGAAAAAAAAAAAAAAAAAAAAAGAAAAAAGGAAAAAAAAGAAAGAAAAAAAAAAGAAAGGAAAAAAGAAAAAAAAAGGAAAAGAAACTAAGAGGAACAAAGAAAAGAAGAAGAGGAAATGAAATGAAAAAAAAAAAGAAAAAGAAAAGAAGGAAAAAAAAGAAAAAAAAAGAAAAAAAAAAAAAGAAAAAAGAAAGGAAAAAGGAAAAAAGAAAGAAAAAAAAAAGAAAAAAAAGGAAAAGAAAGAAAGGAAAAGAAAAAAAAGGAAAAGAAAAAGGAAAAGGAAAAGGAAAAGGAAAAAAAAAAAAGAAAAAGAAAGAAAAAGGAAGGAAAAAAAAAAAAGAAAAAAGAAAAAGAAAAGAAAGAAAAAGAAAGAGAGAAAGAAAGAAAGAAAGAAACTCCTCCAATCCTCACAGATTTGTAGACATAAAAAATAAAAAGAAAAGAACTTAAAAACAAAACAAAATCAAATAAATATTTGTTTGTTCTAGCTTCACATGTATTTCATGAGAGAGAGGAGGAGAACAAAACAGAGAGAACATTATTGACATCTGACCACTGGATCATAAGGGTTTAGTTACCTTTAACCAATCCTCCAAATGCACTCAGATTAGCCGTCAAATACAAGAAAATGTTACGGTTTCCTTTTTTCTCTCATGCACCAAGAATTACACGAGCACTTGCAAGATAATAAAGAAGATTTATAAAACAAGAGAAATGGATTTGTGCTCTCTGATTTTCTCTTCAATGTGTTTATTTCGCAACATGTTACATGTTTCAGATTCCAGGAACATCATTGCCACTGTAGAGGAAATGTTCCTCAGCCACCATCATCATCATCATCATTGTAAACAATCAAGAGGAAAGGTACCTCTGCCATCATCATCATTATAAACAATCAATTGTTAATGTAAAAAATCTATCACCGACCATGACTATAAATGATTAACTGTTTATAAGAAAAGTTCTGAGGCTATCATCAGAATCATTTACCCAAGCCATCCTTCCATTAAAGAAATATCAGTTTTAAGGAATTGTCCTGATGGTGTCTCGCCTTGATGTGATAGAATAGCCTGCATGCTTCAACGACCCCAGAGCTATGTAGACAGGGGCTTTGGGCCTTAGTTCAACAGGTCTGTCGGGTAGGAACCAGATAAAAGACACACTCTGGTCCTCCAGGTTGGGGGTTGTGTAGTAGGCTAACAACCTACTCACTTAAAAACTAGTCTGTTACAGAAACCACAATGATATCATCAAACAACGACATGGTTGAGGAAGAGTCCTCCAAAGTGGAGCATATGATACATGCCCCAAGAAGCCAGTGTGCTGACAACTCCTTCTAATGACTAAGTCAACAACCAGGATAGGGACCTGGAACAACAGAGACCCTATACGAGACTTGACGTAGAAGTGATGATGCAGAGGTAGAGGCAGCTGGCACGACATGGGCTGAGCTGAAGAGGATCGCCCGGAAACACATCCATTGGAGAGGTGTTTTTGCGGACCTATGTTCCCCAAGGAATCCAGAGACATAAGAAGTTTTAAGGAACTACTCATGGATTGCATGGGTCAAAACCAAATTACTTTTTAATTTTCCTGAACAAAGACAAATGCTAGCACAAATTCTTTGTCGAGTCTGCGTTAAGTTACACGGTACATGTCAACCTTATCAGTTAGAAACTTACTTGGAAATGAAAAATCTTGCTGATTTCAGCTATTTTTAAAGACTGTTTTTTCCCACACCTGAGCTATTTACAATTTGGCAGATTGTATCTTTTATTCACCTTGCACATTTCACGGTTTTCAGAAAATCAAAAAATGATTTTCATATATTTTGTTCCATATCTGCACACTACGGATTTAAGAAATTAAAAATTGAGAAATTGTGAAGTTCATTGGATAATTCTGACTTAAAAAAAAAAAAAAAGTAGAAATCGAGCAATCAAGACAGATATTGAAAAATTCAACTGGGTTTAAACTGTCAGCACAGCACCCGTCAAAATGGATAGGATTATTTATGGATGAAACTTGGAAAATTTTCTACATCTCAGTTATGTATCTGTCTATATTTCTGAGATGAGGTATTATGTACACTATTTACATTATTCAAACTATTGTCCTCATCTTTGTTGCCATATTTATCACAATGTTTCAGCCATTGTACGCTCTGGCTTTCTTCAGTATCTGTCTATATTTCTGAGATGAGGTATTATGTACATTATTTACATTATTCAGACTATATTTCTCATCTTTGTTGCCATATTTATCACAACGTTTCAGCCGTTGTACACTCCGGCCTTCTTCAGGTGGTTGGAATGTCGAACTGAACCCTTTATTTTGCTCGCTGGGGTAAACTGTTCTAGTTCCACATGCCATGTCTAATGGACATCATTTATCAGTTATCTCCTATTAATTCACCTCTCCAAGTTCGTCACTGCCAGGTATTGAACTCACAACTCTTTGGGTCCCGTCACTGGATTTAACCAATAATTTTTTATCCGCTGTGCCATGTGTCAGTTATGAGTAACAAGTAAATTACAGTGCAGATTACATCTACAGTGCCACTCATTTTTCATTTCTCTTTTTTTGGGGAGGGGCAGTAAAGCCACTAAAATACAAGGGTTAGAGGGTGTGGAAGAATTAGGAACAGAGACATTAATAATGAGTGGAAAGAGAAAGGAGTAATCAGGAAGATAGTAGATAGTGATTGACATTTCATTTAAATTTTTGCAGGGAGTTCCACAAGTGAGAAGTGCGAGAAAAGCAACTGTTAGCATAGAATTTACAGTTACATCTAGCCAGCTCAATTGTAGATTGATGAGATCTCGATGCCAGTCTAGTACTGCGCTTAAATTAAAAATATCTCAATACCATAGCGAAGAGCTCATCCAGACAATTACCATGGAGGTATTTATAGAAAAAACACAGAGAGACAACCTTACTGTGGTGGGAAAGTGATTGAAGCTGAGCCACCAGATCAGGACCAATAATATTGCTGATTTTTCTTTGAATTTTTTCAAGGTGCTCAAGGTAAATAGCTTACAAACATTCTTCTCAATACAAGCAAGGAAATATGTGTATGATGGGTTTTCATTTTTTTTATACAGTTTTATGTAACATTGGTAATTTACATGTTGACTGTCATCAAAAAAAAAAAATTAAAATCTATGCACCACCATAATGGATGTTTTTTTTCTGAAGTGGAAGCAAAAACAGCTACCTATTTTTTGTTTCTTAAATTATCAAAAACCAGGGAATTGTCCAATTTAAATGAAATTTTCATCACTTATTCATTAATGGATGAATTGTATACTAATTGGGTTAATTTATTAGAATACTTTGTAGGAATTTCCCTCACACACACACACACACACATTTTGAGACATGATGAATATCTTTAAAATTGGGAGATGATTACAAATATTATTTTTTACGATTTTATAAAGGAAAATCCCTGAAGGTATTTCAGTAAAACATACATTATTTACATTATTTGGACTACCATCTTTGTCGCCATATTTATCACAACGTTTTGGCCGTTGTACACTCCGGACTTCTTCAGTTGGTTGGAATGTCGAACTGTATCCTTTATTTCGCTCACTGGGATAAACTGTTCTAGTTCCACGTGCCATGTCTAATGGATGTCAGTTATCAGTTATCTCCTGTTAATTCCCCTCTCCAAGTTCTCCACTGCCTTAACCAGGTATTGAACTATCTTTGGGTCCTGTCACTGGATCTAACCAACACCTTTATCCACTGTGCCATGTTTTGGCCGTTGTACACTCCGGACTTCTTCAGTTGGTTGGAAAGAAAACTGTATCCTTTATTTCGCTCACTGGGATAAACTGTTCTAGTTCCACGTGCCATGTCTAATGGATGTCAGTTATCAGTTATCTCCTGTTAATTCCCCTCGCCAAGTTCTCCACTGCCTTAACCAGGTATTGAACTATCTTTGGGTCCTGTCACTGGATCTAACCAACACCTTTATCCACTGTGCCATGTGCCCTTGAGGTGTATGAATTTCTGTGTATTATAAACCTTATGTTATCAGCAAACATTTTTTACCAGTGTTCATATTGCAATTTTTGCTGTTATAATTGCATGTTTTTACATGTTGCAATTTTTTATTGTTATTATTTACTTCAGTAAAACGGTTATGCAACGCAATACCAAATTCAGAATCCGTGGAAAACTTCTCTTAAAATCTAATGAAAATTGTTCAATCAAACTCAAAAATACCCTTTTGGTTCAAAGTTGGTGCTTGCATAATTTGATAAAACATTTCCTTTCAGATTTGACAGGGGACAAAAAAAATTTATGAATATTTCTTTTTGAAAAATATTCTTGTAATTGTCATTATGATTTTGAAATTATTTTAACCTTCAAAAATTAATATGGTTGGATTATATTTTTGTTTTCAATAAATAAAAATATTTTATGAAACTTAGTACATTTTTTTCTGTTAATAGGAATAAAAAGGTAATTTTAAGCTTGTCGTCACATCATATTGAAACTCCAGTTCCTGCATGATCATTGAAGTTAAGCAATATTGAACCTGGTCAGTACATAGATGGGTGACCACTTGGGAATACTAGGTGCTGTAAGCTTAGATGTATGTGTAGTGTAATTGATAATGGTTTGAGATTGTTAATTGGAGGGCTGAGTTCCAATTCTTGTTGGGTTTATTATATTCATTTATATGCAAATAGCCTTGGAAAAGGTCTGAATCCACCTCTTCTCCCCCAAAAACAACAAAAAAAAATCTTACCATCTACAGCACCACTTTTTTATTATCTCAACCAAAGAAAAAAAAAAAAATTCTTACAATCTAAAAATATTTTCTGGCTTTAAATAACCTGAAAAGGTTGATAAGCCATAGAAAGCAAATCAAAAAATTTTTTTTTTAAATAATAAAATGAAGTAATATTTCTATCCATTGCATTTATTTTTTTTATTTTATTTTACTATCTGGCATTTATTTTGCATTATGTACATATTTTTAAAACTATTTGATGTCCTTAAATATTTAACAGCACCAAATGATTTTTTTTATTTCACCCCAAGCAAGGTAATAAAGCCCCTAAGAATTTACTGAAAAAATCTGAGAATTAGACATTATTAAGGAAAGAGAACAATAAAAGAACAGGTATTAGCCCTTTGAGCCCTGACAACCACTTTACTGGTGGTAGAGAAAAATTATGTAATGTCTAGTCACTGGTTGAACAGTGGTGGAGAAAAATGACTTGATGCTCAGCCACTGGTTGGATGGTGGGTAAAACACTTGTAATCATTTTTATATCTACTGTGAAACATTACATACCAATTATTTGTGAATTTTGACTAAGGAGCTCAGGTAGACGGGTTAAAATTGTTCAGGATCACAGGTCTCAAAGGGTTAAGAAGAAAGGTGACGAGTGACATAGTATTTAAAATTTTGAAGTTCAAAGTTGACTGAAAAGCTAGAAGAGAATTTCATAAGCATCAAGTGTGAAAGAAACTATTAGCATAGAACTTATAGTTACATCTAGCAATTTCAACTGTAAAATGAGACCTAGCAGCCAATCTAGTACTGAACTGAAATAAAGTCAAGGCAACCATAAGGAACTATTTTTCCTTCAATAAGTGGACTATTATTTAGGAAAAAAATGCTGAATAATAAAAAATATTTTCAAATTAGAAATTGCTGACTTGCTGACTTGCAGAATACTGAATTCAGCACTACAGAGATGACATAGAAAATAGCCTCTTTAAAGAATTATGTGCCTGAGCAAATAAAATGTAAAATGTAAATAGCTTTATCTACTTTATTCAGGTTCTATCTTAATGAAGACAAAGAAAATATATCTAAAAAAATAACCTGATTTGCTATTATTATGTCAATGCTGCTTCACCTTAAAAAAAACAAAAAAAAAAAACTTTTTTCTCTTGTCTTTTAAATTCCAATGCTCTGTAGCTTGTAATGCCACAAGAGAAACACAGTAACATATCTTTTTTCTAAAAGGTAAATCTTCAAGAATTTCATTTTAGCTTAAATCAGTCTGCTTCTAATGTGAAATTTTGAATTATCTGTTCTCATATTTTCTCTAGTGACTGCCAATAAAATGCAATATAATAATTTTAAAACAACAATAAGCAACTAACTAAAAGAAAAACTTATTAATTTTTATTTTACTCATTATCGATGGCACACAGTGTATTTCAAGCAAAAGATTCTGACTATTATCTTATGTCCTGCAATACATGACTACTGTAGATTTCACTCTCACTCCATTACACAGGGAAGAAAGAAATATCTAATCTGTTGCTGAATTTATATACAGTGTAACCCGGATATAAGAGAGTTGTCGGGACCGGAGAAGAAGTCTCTTATATCTGGGTTTGGTCTATTTTGTTTCGGTAAGTATGGGCTCTAATTTGGGACCAGAGAAAAGTTTCTCTTATATCCGGGTTATACTGTATATGCTCAAAGAAAGTCCAAAAAGAGGTTCAGAAGGCATGCACAGATCATTACTGACTTGGGGTGGGGTCACTGATTATTAGCTTCACAAGAGTTTATTGTTGAATCACCTAATGCAATTTAGTCTTTTTAAAAAGAAATATTTACCTTCAACCCTGGATTAACTTACCTTTATCATTGAAGTAGAAACTATAGGGTTCATTTACTTTATTTTATTTGAACTTCCAGTATTTATCTGTCTATATCTCCGAGATGACGTCTATGAATACTTGCATTGTTTACATCATTCACACTGTTATCCTCATCTTCATTGCTATATTCACAATGTTTTGGCTGTAGTACATTCCGGCCTTCTTCAGGTGATGAAAATTTTGAATTGAACTCTTTATTTCATCCACCAATGTAGACTGTTCTAGTTCCACATGTCATGCCTCTTCCAGATGTCTCAGTTATTTCCCTTTAACTCAACCCTCCAAATTTTGGTTCACCACTGCTGTAGCCTGCTATTGAACTCACAACTCTTTGGGTCTAGTCACTGGATCTAACCAACATCTTTATCCACTGGACCATGTGTCCTTGAGGTGAGGAGTATTTAATTTTGATATTTATTGTAATAAAAAAAAAAAAAATTATAGGTATTGCCTTGATTATGTTAAAGTAAATTAAAAAAAAAAAAAAGTTACCTACCAGCACGGAGACAGTGAGCAATGCAAACAGCAGGAGAATTGTTTTCCGGGAAATCCTTGTGATGTCCGGCCAACTCTCTTTTTGCATGAGAATCCCGGTAACATCCAAGATACATGCCAGTATTGTTGCCTGGAAATAAGAAAAGAAAAGAAAAAGAAACAATAAAATAATTTCCTTGGAATTTCTTTATTAAAGAAAAAAAAATTCATGGTATAATAATGACAAAGACCCATAATGTAATTTTATATATCATATATATATATATATATATATATATATGTGTGTGTGTGTGTGATAAATTAACTGATGTAAAAATATGGTTTCATCACTACACAGGAATTACCATGTTTCAAAAACAGAAACTAAAAACTTCAAATTCAATTATATAATTAAATTAAAAGGTTCCAAAATTCACTTGAAGATGAAACAGAACTAATGCCTTTAATTTAATTATATAATTGAATTTAAAGTTTTTAGTTTCTGTTTTTGAAACATAGTAATTCCTGTGTAGCGATGAAACCATATTTTTAAATTAGTTAATTTATAATATTTAATAATATTTATGTTCTGTAAATTTACATTGAGCACTGTTTTGTAAAAATAAAAATATCAAAAAATAACACCAGATTATATATCTGACTGTTCTTCCTTTTTTACTATATATATATATATATATATATATATATATATATATATATATATATATATATATAAAATAATAGCTGGCTACTCAAATTCAGGATACCTGTCTGCTAGGGCAGCTAGCCAATCCCTATTGCAGACTATCTCTCAGGCACATGTGTTTGACACCCACAGAATTCAACTGCGGTTTATACTGCAACTATTGCTTAGAAGACCTAAGTTACAGTTTCTAGAATGATCAACAATCTGAACAACACCAGCATACTCAAACCCTCGTATAGCTATCGGTGGCCCCAAGTGTTCTGTCAACCCAATTTCACTCACAAGGCTTGGGTCAACCTGTGACATGGTTAACAGGCACTTTCCAAAGGTGTTGCCTGCTGGGATCATACCCCCTCCAGGCTGATAACATCAGGAAGTCGCCTTCTTGAAAAATCAACCATGATGAGATTCAAACTTGGGTCCCATGATCAGAAAGCAAAGATTCTAACCACTCAGCCATATATATATATATATATATATATATATTACATACATACATACATACATACATACATACATACACACACAGTGTAACAGCAAAATTGTCCAATTATTAGATTAAGCTTTGAACCATTGTATCTTAGAAATGATTAAAGATATCTTCCTGGAATTCTATGAAGCTTTTATAAAACTATTGGACTCTACTTTGAACAATAAGAATATATTTAGTTGTGATCTCCTGATCTAGTTTTCCTTCCTAATGTTCCCTCTTTTTTAAACATTCACTGTTCTCTTGATGGTTCTTGAATGAACTTTAAAGATGCAAACCAGAGTATGAATGGTGGTACCCTTACTGAAGGCCTGAATGAGCTTCTTACTATCACTGTTGCTCAGTTGGGAAGACATAGTGGGTCTGACAAAAAATGATTTTAACCTGTTCTTTTTCTAGCTGAATAACTCAACGGGTTTTTCTGTGATTTTTATGACAAATGGTGTCAAGATGGCTAAACCTCTCATCTGAAAACCTGGAAAAAAGAAGCTTAATTAGTTTAATGTTTTTTTTTCTTGAGATGGACAATTATCCCATGCTGTTACACAAATTGGACAATTTTGCTGCTACACCTGGTGTATGTATGTGTGTGTATATGAGATGCAGAACATATACGGATCAGAATCCAATAGGATGATAAAATAAAGAGCAAATAAGAAGCATCAATCTAATATGCTTCAATTTTATTAAAGTTTGCTCTCAATCTCTGACAAAGATTTAATAAAAGGGAAAAATGTTAGATTGATGTGTTTCCTATTTGTATTTATTTTATCATATATATATATATATATATATATATATATATATATATATATTTGAAATAAAAGAAAGAACAGTAAGATATGCAATCCTGTGTTCTTATTGATATTTTTATTTTTACAAAATAGTGCTCAATTTAAATTTACAGAGCATTAATATTATAAATTAACTAATTTAAAATATGTTTTTTTTTGCTACACAGTAATAACCATGTTTCAAAAATGGAAGCTAAAATCTTTAAATTTAATTTTGTAATTAGATTAAAAACATTAGTTCCATTTCATCCTCAAGCGAATTTCAGAGTAACTTATTTTTTAAATTTACAAATTTTCTGAGTTTTAACTACAAGGGAAATTCATAATTTACAGTTACCAAGGATAGAGTGAAATCCAATCATCCAGACAAGGTGTGGTAGTGTGTTCATTTTTATGTGAAATGATATACATATCTCATTTCACACCAAGCAAGGCAATAAAGCTGCAAAAACACAAGGAGTTGCTAAGTGTGAGTGAACATGAGAAAAAAAAATTATTAATGAGAGAGAACGATAAAAGTCTGATATTAAAACAACAGCAGGTAACGGTTGATGTTGCATTTAAATTTTTGAACATCAAAGTTGACTGGGAAGCAAGAAGTCAGAAAAAGAGTTCCCTAAGCGAGAAGTGCAAGAGAAGAAACTGTTAGCATAGAACTTACAGTTACATCTAGACATTTCAACTCTAAAATGTTGAGTAAAATGTTTCTGTCAATCATAAAGTCTAGGTACTATAGAGAAAATCCATCAGAACAATTATCATGAAAATAGTTATAGAAATAGCACAGGGAAGCCACATTGGGCATTTTTTATGAACATACAACCTGAATAGAGATAGACAGTGTTCATTATCATCCAAGTTCACAATCCTTGTCTTTTGAACAGGATTAGAGCTTTATCCCCTGTTTAGTAATATGTTTCCAGTTCCTTCTAAAGTGTTCTCATTCTCTTTAACTCTTAATAGTCCTTTATGTCTTAGTGGTATTATCACCTTGCCTGGGGTGAATTGATTAAAAAAAAAACACATGATAATTGGAATCTCTTAATATAATATTATTCAACATAGATAATCTGTCTATATTTGTGAGACCAGATATTATAACTATTTACACTATTTACAGTGTTCGGACTCTTGTTCTCATATTTATTCTCACATTCACAATGTTTCGGCAATTGTATGCTTTGGCCTTCTTCAGGATCTGTCTATATTTCTGAGATGATTTATTGTAACTATTTACACTATTTACATTGTTCAGCCTGTTGTCCTCATCTTGACTGTCACTTTCACAATGTTTCGACTGTTGTACACTCCAGCCTTCTTCTGGTTATATTTGTTGGAATTTTAAAACAAACCCTTTATTTAGTCCATGGTGGGTAGATTATTCTAATTCCACGTACCATGCCTTTGGATATTTCTGTTTTAGTTAATTCAGCCAAACATAGAGATGAATACAATATGGGAACCAGTAATACAGAGAGCTTGAAAAGAACAACAATTATGGATGAAGTGAAAAAGAAAGTGAGTAAAAAAAAATAAATAATGGTTACTAAGACATTAGGTTTATAAGTCCCCAAAATTCACTCACTTATGTCCCCAAGGACACAAGCCTTGGTTAAAAAAATGATTTGACCCAGAGAGTTGTGAGTTAAATCCCTGGTCTCAGCAGGGAGATCAAAAACTTGGACAGTTACCAAGATAAATTGACTAAAACAGAAATATCCAAAGGAAAAGTGAGTAGATATTTACTTAACCCCCAACAAGGTCAGGTTGTGACACAAGATCAGTTTAATGTGAGGAGCCCGAGCGCGTACACCCGGGCAAGGAACAAAAATTCCCTGAGCCCCCGCAACCAGTTGCACTGGCCTCGGTGTGTGCACCGATCCTTCTCTCAAGTGCAATGAGAAGGCACGACCTCAGGCAGCTGTTCCCCAGTGCAGGCACCTCTCAGTATAATTTTCCTCAGTTGTGACTCTGTCCTTTGATGGAGTTGCCCCTGAGTGCACTCTGCCCAAAGACAGAGATGCAACTGAGAAATGATAAATAGACATGAACCGACTCAAAAAGAGTAAGTTACACACTAAAAGGAAAAGTGAGTATGATTTTATTTTATTTGTTTAATGGCATATCAACTCCTTGTGGGTCATTTAATCTGAAATTTAATTTTCTTGGAAGTTTTTAAATAATACAAATATGTTATTCTGCCTCCACAATTGAATACATGGTAGATGATACTCAGCTTTTGTGCATATATATGTTTGTATGACCATCATTACTAGAGGCAGTGATATATGTGTTTTGTATTGTATTTTTCTTGAAGGTATCTTTTGGAATAGTTTGATTTAAGAAATTGTTAGATAAATTAGTGTCATGAAATAGTTCAGGCAGATGTGCATATATATATATATATATATATATATATCTGTGTACATAATTACTATAAGTGATGATATGTGTTTTATATTGCAGTTTTGTTGAAATTATATATTGGAACACAGTTTGATTTCGTTAAGATATTGTAGAATATTATATGGATTAACATCATGAAAGAGTTCAGGGATATGTGCATATGTCTGTGTGCTCTTTCATGCATGCCAAAATCTGAATATTTTGGACACTAGTGAATGCCTTTAACTAAAGATAAAATGTATTATTGGTAATTCTGCTATAAAACATATTATTGGTAATTTTTTTATATAAAAATATATACTCAAAACCTCCACTCTCCTGATCAGAGGCCTTGCTGCGGTATGTAGTTTATCATCATACCAAGGACTAGAATAATGAATGAAACCATCCAAGTCAACCATGTTCAGTTAAGTGGAATACAATTTAGTTTTGGTTTTTGGGATTTTTATGTTTGGGGAAAACATGAATCGTTTTTAGTTATTTTGATTTTTCGCAAATGTGACAAGAATTCCTTGTAGATTTGATTTTCCATTGATTGGCAGTATTTTTTAAAAGGTGACTGAAAGGTGTTAAAAGTCAGATTGGGGGAAAAGCTAGAGAGATTGATGAGAAAAAAAAAGACCAAAAGAGACAGATTGAGAAATAGAGAGGAGAGGCAGAGGAAAAGAAAAAAAGAAAGAAAGAAATACTGGGAAAAGAGAGAGAAACAGAAAAAAACAAAGAAAACACAGACCAAGAAAAGCAGAGTAAAAGAAACGGAAAGAACTAGAAAAATGGAAGGATTGAGAAAAACAGAAAGAGAAACATAAAGAGAGATAGAGAAAGAAACAGAAAAAACACAGAGATAGAGAAAAACAGGATGAGAAAAAGAGAGAGAGAGAGAAAGAGAGAGACAGACGGGCCGCCAAGAGAGTGGGAGACAGACGGGCCGCCAAGAGAGTGGGATAGAAAAAGATGGTTGAGAGAGAGAGAGAAAGAAATAAACAGAAAAAGAGAAAGAAAAGTAAAGAAAGAAAAACATTAAAAAAAAAGAAAAGCAAAAGGATTTATCTGTGTGAAAATATATTTTTTTTAAAATTTAAATTCACGAAAATAAAATAAAGATACATTGTAGTCATGGAAATTAGTTCCACTATTGTAAAAATGACTTATAAAAGATGAAAAAGAAAATGAGAAACAAAATCATGAGGAAAGAAAAAAAAACCCTTAAAGAACAGACACAAAAAAGAAAATCTAAGAAGAAAATCTTCCAACCAAAAACACAAATCCAATTCCATTTTGTAAAAATGACCTCATTAATAACTCCTGAAAGTCCATTGCAAATGAATGATGGCTGTGACCAGAAAAGAAAAAAAATATATTTCTAGCCAATCATATTGAGGCAATATATTCAGGGCTGAATTTGATTGGTTATTCTATCACAAAGGCTCAAAATGGCTGACATTCATCTTGTCTTATTACATCATGAACCCAATAGACATTAATTAGTTGTCAAATACTGACCAATATCTCATTAAACCATTTAAGTGGTTTTCTCGGATTACTGGCAAAAATATTGGAATAGAAAAATAAAGACATTGAGAAAACCCAAGTATGAAACAATAATAAATAAAAAAAAACAAATAAACAACAAATGTTCATCCCACCTAATCCGACCAATGTGACAAGTTTGGATCTGTATATGGCGTAATGGTTATTGACTTGAGAAATGGAATCAGCAATCTGAGGTCAAATTCTGGCTCAAGATATTGTGTTCACTTTGCTCAAATACCTTGAGGGAAGACAAAGATCCATCACTTCTTTACACCAATGATAAAATGATAAGTCTCCCTAGCCTTGGTTGGCAATCAATCTAGGATCAAGACAACTGTGAACTAAAAAAAATTGAAAAACCATTGAGGAGGGAGAGAGATTGATTGATTGATTGATTTATTCATTCATTCATTTTCTATTGCTTATCAACTCATTACAGATTATTTAATGCTAGAAAATATTTTGAAATAATGATTTAGTAAAACAAGTCTGACTAATTAATCCATAGCTGGTTTGAGGAGAAGAGCGGGGGGATTCATACTCTTCCTAGGAGTATTTGCACATAAGTAAATATAATGAACACAATGAGAATTAGAAGTCAACTCTCCAATTAACAATTCCAAGCCATTATACATTACACCACCTGCACATCCAAGATTACAGCACCTGGTATCAAGCAGTCACTCATCTAGGTACTGACCAGGCTCAACATTGCTTAACATTGGTGATTATAAGGGAACCAGTGTTTCAATGTGAAGTGGTTGTAAACAGAGAAAGAAACAAAAAGACTGTGAAAAAGAGAGACAGCGACAGAAAGACAAAGAAAAAAAGAAACAGAAAGAGAAAGATGAAAAGAGAGAGAGAGTGAAAAAGAGAGAGAGAGTGAAAAAGAGAGAGAAAGAGAAACAGTAAGAATTAAAAAAAAGAGAGATAAGGAAAGGGAGAAATAGAAAGAGGGAGAAGGAAAGAAAAAGGCCAAGAAGGCAGGGAGAAGGAAAGAAAGAGAAAGGCTGAGAAAGAAGGAAGAAACAAACAGGCTGGGATCACTCCATTATTGTTCCCAAGAACAATTGTGGCAATCTTAGTGAATGTTAAAGTAAAGGATGTTGTGGAGGGTCATATATATTTAATGAGGCTCTATAAAAACAGAGTGATTAAAAAATATCCAAGTCTGCAACACCTGCACAATTTCGTTTTTCACTCTTTGGTAAGAGGCATCATTCCAAATGCTGATTTTCAAGGCAAGTAGGTCCTACTTAGATGGAAGGATGTAGAAACACAATATTTCCCTTCCCTTCACTACTTTGTCTTGTGGCATGCTAATCCAATCTTAGTAAATATCTACATTTTCTTTTGGTTGATATATAACAGAATTATCTCACTTGATATTATCTGCATTACTGATTAGACACTGTTCATAGAAAAATGGTTATTGTGCTGTTTTTCTCAAACAACTAATTTCTGCTAATCAGAGACTAAATTGAAATGCTAAACTGATTCCTGCAAATCTCCACAACAATATGATCCACAGAAAGCAGTGACCTTGTGGTGGCAGGACACAGAAGCTACAGTTTAAAAACTGAATAGATTAAAATAAATATTTATTTCATAAACTTTTCAATGGTGCTTTTATTATGGTACAAAAAAAAATATAAACAAAGTTAAACAACAAAAAAAAAAATTATTTTGGGAAGGTTTAATTTTTTTTTTTTAAAGATGATTCAGCAACGATAGCTAAAAAATTTAGCATAATACATTTTTACTAAAATGCTGTTTATTCACATTAAAATCAAATTAAATTTTGTGTGATAAACATTATCTTGCATGAGCAGATGGATTTATGAAATTGTTTAACCTTTCACTTACTGGCCTTCAGTTACACCCCTAATACTTCTCGTATATTAAAATAGTCTATGTCTACCGATTCAACTACCAGGAGTGACTCAGCTACTGCTAAAATAATTAAAAGCAAAAAAGTTTGAAATCTCACTCGAGGATTCAGACATGTTTGTTTAAAGTAATCTCATCGTACTTTTAAAAGAAAGGCAGGGGTTATATTTGGTCTCCCTGAATCCGCTCCATTGGCCTTCCCATGTGCAATAAATATCAGGCTTATGGATAAAAAAACCAGTGACTTGATTTGTTGAATATTACAAGTCAATTCTCGAAAGACAAGACAAATATTTTCTTTTTTTAGGTTGAAGATGAAGATAAATGTTTACAAAAAGATTTATAAGAAGCCTCTCTCTATAAAGCAAGAATAAGAGAGACAGAGAAAGATATGCCAAAATGACATTGCTACATTTCTGCTATTTTACATAGAAATTGCAAAACCCATTTTTGTATACTCCCTGCACATTTGCAATATTACAAATTTAAAACAAAGAATTTAAGCACAATACTAGATTGGTGGTAAGGTCATATCATTTTATAGTTGAAATGGCTAGATGTGACCATAACTTCTATGGCAACAGTTTCTTCTATCGCATTTCTTGCTTGTGGAAATCTCCCAGCAACTATGGAGGGGGGGGGGGTAATAGGCAGTGAGGGGAAAGAGACATAAAGTATGAAAAAAAAACACTACCTCAGAAACCACAGCAACTTTAAGAACAAAATGTCCATGGGATAGACTTAACAAGACAGTGTCTTGCCAACTGTTGGTTTTTCCATTTCTTTTAATGGCATGAGGCATCTTACAAATACGCGGATCTTGAACATTTGCAGAGAGGCTCATATCTAGACATGCCAAGCTGTCCTGCTGATAAAAAATCAAGATGTAACTGGTGTTGAAAAACATATCTGCTTGCAATTTGGAGCATTATTTTCCCTATAATGAAAAACCTTCTAGAATCTTGTAAAGAAAATTTTGATTTGTTTGTTTGTTGTAAAGTAGTTTTCACAGTGGAGGCTTGTATTTCAATAAGTCGGTCTTAAAAGGGTCCGACATACAAAACATTAGGAACTTGCAATAATAGTTAATGATGCAGCAATCTAGTTGTGATGGTTGATACTTCAATGTCCAACATCGACTGACTCACTCAACTCCACTGAGCTCAACTGGCGACCGCTACTACTACTACTTATTATGTGTGGGAGAGTCTATTACAATAGAATAGGTAATGTTCTGGTATAACACTTGCGTTGAAATGATTAAGAAAAAAAAAATTGCCTCAACAGAGAATGTCTATTCATCATCTAAATCAGTTATTCTCAATCTAAAAACAAAATATGAAAAGGAATGTTATGCCTTCTATACATATTGTTAAGTGAAGAAAAAGTATTCTGATGTTATTTAACCAGTGTTTTGAAGTACTATAACTGGAACAATGATAACAATGTTTTATTGAAAAAGAAAGAAAAGAAAGAAAGAGAAAAAAGAAAGAAAGAGAAAAAGAAAAAAGAAAGAAAGAGAAAAAGAAAAAAGAAAGAAAAGAAAAAAAAGAAAGAAAAGTGAGCAAGTAGTTTGTAGTCAGAAAATATATTGAGTGCGGCATTACAGTAACATCACTAAACATACAATAGGACCCTGACCCAACTTCCCACCGATTGGCCAATGACCACCCCACGTTGTGTCTCGATTCTAGTTCATGGCAATGCACACCAAAAACTGACATAGGCCTGCTGCAGATTCACAAAGTAACAAAAAGTTGAAAACAAACAACACATTGTGAAATGAAAACTAGAACACCCTGGTTTCAATATTAAGTTGGTGCGTAATTATCAGGCGTTTTTGTAGGCGAGTTATTTGTTAATAAAAACTGCTGTTTTGTATACTTTTTTTAATAAAAATATTATTTTATTTTTAGTCTATAAAAAATGCATGTTGATAATCATATGCTCTGAAATAATCATTTAAAAATGTTATTGTTGAATTGTGATGTTTCTTTTTTTCATAATAAATATTGTTTAAACAATGCCTGATAATTATGCACCAACCCAATAAAAAATACATGTTTTATTCAGGGTTTGTGATTAATTTGACAGAATTCCAAAAATGAATAAACAATTATTTTACATATTGAAAATTTACTCTCTTATTCTCATGATACATAAGTACCTCAATAATTACACATGTGTTTTAATGGATAAGTATGTGTCTGTAAACAAATATTTCGTGAGTTCTTACAAAGCTGTATATAAGTGTATGTGAATATGCATGTGTGATACTTATGTTTAGACAAATATATGTGCATGTGTCTGTGGAGGGGTGTTGTGTGTAATTAATGTGATTAAATATTGGATAGGAGAAAAATAAATGCAAGTCAAGAACAATGGTGTTGTCGATTGACATTGATATATGGAAAATGTTTTACTTTGTCAGCTAAATGGTAAGTTTGTAGCGCTGGGGTAGGCAGTGAGAAGTGGAACAGGTTGGCTGCAACCCCATCACTGAAATAATCACTGTTGTCACAAGTTTCAAAATGAAAAACAGTATCTTTGTTGGAATGGTTGATTAAAAAGAAAAGCCAGACATTAAAAATTCAGGTAAGTAAAATACATAAACAAAGAAAAATGCTAAAGAAAGAAGAGAAAAGAAACCAAAGAGAAAAGAAAAAAGAAAGAGAGAAGAATGAAAGAGTAAAAAGAAAGAAAAAGAAAAGAGAGCAAAAAGAAAGATTGAAATAAACAAAAGAGAGAAGAAAATAATATGAAAGGAAGAAAGAAAAGGAAAAAAGAATGAAAAAAAAAAAAAAAAAGAAAAGAAAAGAAAAGAAAAAGAAAAGAAAAAAAAGAAAAGAAAAGAAAAAAAAAAAGAAAAGAAAAAAAGAAAAGAAAGAAAAAAAAAAAAAGAAAGAAAAGAAAAGAAAAGAAAAAGAAAAAAAAAAGAAAAAAAGAAAAAAAAGAAAGAAAGAAAAAAAAAAAGAAAGAAAAAAAAAGAAAAGAAAGAAAAGAAAGAAAAGAAAAAAAAAGAAAAAGAAAAGAAAAGAAAGTAAAAAAAGAAAAAGAAAAGAAAGAAAAAAAAAAAAAAAAAAAGAAAGAAAAAGAAAAGAAAAGAAAGAAAGAAAAAAGAAAAGAAAAAGAAAGAAAGAAAGAAAAAAAAAAAGAAAGAAAAAATTAAAAAAAAGAAAAGAAAGAAAAGAAAGAAAAAAAAAGAAACATTAAAAAATATAAAGATTTTGTAAAAAAGAAAAGTTTTAAAAAGAAAGAAAAAAAAAGAAAAAAAAGAAAAAGAAATAAAAAATAAAAACGAAAGAAAGAAAAACGAAAGAAAGAAAGAAAGAAAAAGAAAAAAAATTTGAAATATAAAAAAAAAAAAAAAGAAAGAAAAAAAAAAAAAAAAAAGAAAAAGAAAAAAAAAAAGAAAAGAAAAAAAAAGAAAAAAAAGAGAAAGAAAAAAGAAAAGAAAAGAAAGAAAAAGAAAAGAAAAAATAAAATAGAAAGAAAAAAAAAAAAAAAAACGAAAAAAAAGTAAAAAAGAAAAAGAAAAAAGAAAAAGTAAAAAAAAAAAGAAAAAAAGAAAGAAAGAAATACCAGCAAAAGAAAGAAAAGAATCAAAAGAAAAGCACTTCATCAATTAATTCTTGCTAATGCCACAATGATTATAAATAAATCGGAGAAAAACTAACCAGCAGACAGGAAAAAATCTTATTCATTTTAGTTGAAACAAAGAAAAGAGTGCTAATATCAGTCATTTATATGGCATTGAATTCTAGACAAAATAATTTAACTCTGGTAGCAGAGCAGAGAATAGTTACAATCTACATATCTATGGGTTATGAGCCCAGCATGCTTCCACTGAATAACTCTACTCAGTGTCAAATTATTTTAAAGGTAATATGGATTATGAAGCTAGCACGCTTCCACTGAACAACTCTACTCAGTGTCAAATTAAAATAAAAAAAAATAAAAGTAATATTATCCAGACAGCAGAAAGTCTGTTCAGTCCTGAATTACTCTAGAAAAAAACAACTAACTTAAATTGAGTTACTTGGGATGAACCAGCAGGGGTGACAGGTTAATCCAACAAAGCATTAGTTTTTATTACCTGGAGGATGTAAGTTCAATCCACATGTGCGATAACAAATATTGCCCACAGAACAGATTTTAACAGAGTGTATTTTGTAAAAGATCTATGTTCATATGATCTTTTAATTAAATTCCTCAATGTTTCCTCTACATATTTATTGGGACATTTTACAGACTGCTGTGTCAGTTCCTGCTTCATGCTGTGATTCCGTTGTATTAATTAAATTTCATACTGTTTTTGAAGTAATTATAACATTGAAATAAATTCTTTTCAGTTGCAACCATTATTGGAGTTGCTAGATAGTATTGTGCACCTAAATATTTCAACATTATATTATTCATTTTTCTTATTTTAGAATTCTGTAAGCTTTATGACAATCATTATTGTCATGGATCCTTACCTATAACTACAGAATGAACTCTTCCTAACACTATGCATACCAAGCCTCTCAAGAGAGAGGGTCGAATCGAGCCGAGCTTCTCGGCTTGACGGTCGAACTCTCTGCCTCTGAGCAGAGAGGAACTCAGATGAGGCTCTGCCGAAGGGCAGAGTCTTGTTCGGGGAGGTTGACCAACCTGATCCCGTTTATACAGGTTCTATGTGCATTTTTTGGTGAGCCTATGGGCTCGGGAAACCCACGTTAAACTCGGCCTTGTGCCACATGCAACCCTCGTGTGTGTGTGTGTGGGGGGGGCTAGATACCGAATAGAGTCGAGCCGATAGTAGTTCACTCCAAACCAGACTGACAGTCATACTAACAACTTCCACATCTTGTATTATTATTTCGTGTAATATACCTTCGTTATTTCTACTCTTGTGTTCGTGTTGTTCTTCCTTGGTCCTAACCTGGACCATGACAATTATATATAAAATAATTACAATACTAGATAAGTTTAAAAGCATTTCTGTGAATAATCCTGTTTATTAATCAAAATGTTTTGAAAAGAGCTGGATCAACCTATAGAAAAAAAAAAACTTTGTTTAATAATGTTTTTGATAGAAAGTGTAGGACTTATTGGAGATCCCATGACCTCATAAAATAATTTTTAAAAAATTGAAAAAAATATTAGTTGTACAAAAGTTTCAAGGTTTAAACAGAGGTTTAATGTAAGTGAGGCACAAGGCCATCCACCTCTTCTTTAAATGTCATATCCCCAGTAGGTCTCGTTTATTCTATCTATATTCTCCAAGCACCTGTTTAAACTGATGCCGCCCTTTTTTTTTTTTTTACAGATATTGTGATCATTTTACTTAACATTTGTATTTTATTGATTTCAGATAAGAACAAAGAAATTTTTAAACATATATAAGCAAAATTTTTATTTTACAAAATTGTATGATTGATTCATTTTTTTAACAACCATTTGCAGGTTATTTAAAGCCAAAAAATATTTTTAGATTCTAAGAATTTTTTTCAGAGATAATAATGGTATAATGATACAAGTCCTACTAATTAATCTATAGCTGGAGGGGAGAAGTCTTACTAATTAATCCATAGCTGAGAGAGAAGATGTGGATTCATATCTCTCCCAAGGGTTTTTGCACATAAGTGAATATAACAAATCCAATGGGAATTGGAACTCAGCTCTCTGATTAACAATTCCAATCCATTATCTAGTACAGTATCTGTACATCCAAGCTTACAGCACCTGGTATTCCCAATTGGTCACCCATCTAGGTACTGATCAAGCTCAATGTTGCTTAACTTCAGTAATTGTATGGGAACCGATGTTTCAACATGATATGGCCATAAGCCAGCAAATTGTATTTTAGACATGGAAAAAAGAGATATGGAATAATAACTGTAAATAGTACACTGCAATTTTGTTCTTAAGAAAGATAATGGAGCAGTTCCCTCTTGTCCTTTCAATGGTTTGGAATTCAGAATTACACTTAACTAGTTGACCCAGGAAACTAATAAAGTCCAGTATACCTTGTTATTTTACCTGTAGTTGAAAGAGAAAAAAAGTTAAAAAATATCTTTTGAAGAAAGACCTGAAACTTTCAACCACTTTTCAGTTCAGCTGTTTGTTAATTTTTATAGGGTCCAAAAATGAATAAGTATAAAAATTTAGTCATGTATTCTCATCAGACGTTACTAACATTACATGTAAAAAATTGCCAAGAACTAATAACAAATGAAATATATTCAAATAAATGCTTATCTTTTATTCTCTATAATATTCTTATTAAATGAATCTATCGCGAAGAGACAACATTCATTCAATGACACAACATATACATTGTGTCCTGATAATTAGGAGCCGACTAAAGAAAGCAAGAGGAGAGAAACAGAACAATTTAGAATGCAACAGAAGATCTTTAAAAATGCTTTAAGGAGAAAATACCTGGTTAGTAATTGGAAGTCAGCAGAAAGAATTCTATCCAGTAGACCAGTTGCCATTTAACTTTTATAGAAATCTTTCTTATATATATTATAATTTTAGATGGATGTTATAGAAAATTTTAAGAAGAATGCTTAATTATTCTGAAAATATTTAAAACCACCCACTTCTAGAAATGATATATGGTGACTTATTCAAGATTTATCAATATTTAGTTATATATATATATATATAGATATATGTATATATATATACATAGGCATTGTGCATTTGTGCCACAGATGAACTTGTGTCATCATTTGTAGATAGCGAAGGCATTGATCCCTAAGGAAGATCTTTTAAGTGCTATGACAGATAGGGGATTTTGAGAGGTGTAGTAAATTCAATCTCGGCTGAGGCCGCAAGATGATGATGGCAGTGATGATTTTTGATCACTGAGACGAAACAAAAATTGATAACAAAGAAAGAGATTCTATACACTTTTTGATGATAAGGATCCATACAAACTGACAAAGAATTTCTTCCAGAAGAGTGGAGTTCTTAAGATACAAAAAGGAGCTTTGGAATTGCTTTTTCACAGAAACCTATCTTGACAAGTTTGTATTTCTCATCCATTTCCACAGAATTTTAAAATCAAGAATTTAAAAAAAAAATTTTATGAAATTAAAGAAGGAGCAGGGACCAATATAAAGACGGCCTTACAGATCAAACAAGAGGACACCAAAGACAGCTCAGTTCTTACCATTCAGCATCAAAGGTAAGGTCTTTTTGGTGTTCGTATCAGATGAATGACAATTTTCATGTTGGACAACAATTACATGGATATTTTTTTATTGCCATGACCATTTAGGATCGTGACTTTCCATAATTTACTTTTCCTTATTAACTTTGAATTGTCATAACTTCTTGGGAAAGATAGTGGAGTGATTTCCTGTTAATCTCTCCATGGTTTTGGATTGTAAAACCGCAAAAGGCTAAAGAAAAGCTAATCTATATATATCTGTCGATATTTAACCCATATTAAAGGGAGAAGAAAGGAGTTCATACCTTTCTAAGGAGGATTAGTACAAATTAAATGCTACAGACAGGCTCATCAAATCCATTTTCCCACAACGCTATCTGAACACCCTTAACATGGCTAGATTTGTAACAAAAAAAATTTTTTTTTTATCATTTCACCCGAAGCAAGGGAATAAAGCCACTAAGATACAAGGTGGGGTGGTTAATGAGTATTAGAGAGTATGAGAAAATACTATTAATGAGACAGAACAATAAAAGAACAGGAATTATGAAGACAAAAGATAACTCTTTAAATTACATTTAAATTTTTGAAGATCAAAATCGGTTTGGGAAGCAAGAAGTCAAAAGAGAATTCAATATTTTGAGAAGAACAAATAGAGAGAAACTCTCAGCATAGAACTTTTATGACTATTTCAACTGTAAAATGATAAAATTTATTCACCAATCTAGTAATGCTTTAAATTTAGAAGTCTGTTCAGAGGAAACAAAGCAAAAAGTTCATCAGATCAATAACCATTTGACAGGGAGATTTACATCAAAAGGTTTATGAAAGTGACTGAGGCAGAGATGCCAGGTCAGGACTAATAACAATGCATACTAGATTCCCCTTGTATTGAACATGAGACAATCTCTGGAGTGACATCAAAATTTAAAAGCCAAAAAGCTGCAAAGTTTCACAAGTTCTTTTTTTCATACTAAATATGACCCAATACAAGGCTTGAATGCCACTCAAGGTAGAAGGTACAGTTGAAAGGGTAATGATGAATGAAGTATATGATATGAATAGAAGAGGTTAGGATCATGAGGATAAGAAGGATAGCTAATGATTAGCCCTTGACTTGAAGAAGTTCAAGGTTGAAGTGTCCAGGGAGACACCCATGTGAAAGTCTTGGTGGGGGTCAAAAAAGAAATGAAACTTCCTTGACATATCTGGAGCATGAAGAAAATAAGGGTGATATGACTTGGAGGGGGTTGCATGCCATGACCTATCTGTACAGGTTTAAATGGAAAAGGACTAAAGAAAGTTTTTATCTGGACATTTACCATAGTGATAAAGTACAGAAAGGCATGCAATGTTGAGAATATGACATCTACATAATAAATGTGAATATCATCTGTATCTATTTTTTGAAACTTTTGTTTTCTAAAATTTTAGTCAACATATCATACCATTTTGGAATCAGATTTTGAATGCCAAAAATTGGAAACATTCCAGGCCAGATCCACAACCTGAAATTTTAGATTCCCAAGTTTTAATTACTGTGATTTTTTTCAGTGATATTTTTTTTTTGTGATTTTTTTTTTAGCAACAAATTTTTTTGTACGATGTAAAAATGAATCTGGGAATAAAAAAAATTGCAAAATCCAACAAAAGTCACCGATGAAATAAAAATCATTGTTGGTACAGAAAGTAAGGACCTACATACATCAAATTGTTTTACATTAAGTGGTTTTAGAAGAATTATCATCGAACTTTTAAAATGTAAGCTTAAATATTAATGCAAGACTTAAATGCAGTGATCAATTTTGAGTTCTTCTGATGGTTTATTGAAATATTAAATCCTCCTACCTATTGAAATTGAAGGCCCAATCAAGAGACCTCTGAAAAAGATTTAGTTTAAATACCGTAACCCAATGGTACAACGAAATAACTAAGTATATAATAAAATTCTTTAACCTGAGTAATACCATCCCTCTGCTGACAGTCACTAGAACAAGCATATGAAAGTTGGTGCTCCAAGGAGATCCGATGTATCACTATGACCTGATGGCATATTTCAAGCATTAGCTCAAAGTGAAGATGACATGAAACAAGATCAAGCAAGGAGGCAATCTGGAGTAGGTTCTTTTATACTTTTTTTTTTTTTAAGCATTTCACCCATAGCAAGGCGGGAAGCCACAAGCACGCAAGGGGTAATAGAGGATTTGGAGTGAGAGCAGGTAGGAATGATAGAGGAAAGGATGGGGAGAAGGATAGTGGATAGATCAAGGCAACTGGAGATGTCGATTGACATTACATTTGAAGAGTTGGAGATTATAGCTATCAGGGAAACAGGAATAGGGAAGGGAGTTCCACAGGCGAGAGGTGTGAGATATGAAGCTATTGGAGTAGAAGAGGTGGCTACATTTAACAGTTTCAACAGTGAAAGGGTGAGAGTGGGATGCCAGCCTCGTAGGGCGCTTGAATTCACGAAGTCTAGGAACCAGCAAAAGCAGCTCATCGGAGCAATTACTACGAAAGTATTTGTAAAAAAGACAGAGAGAGGCGACGGCGTGTCTGTGAGAGAGCAACTGCAGACAAGATGCCAGATCAGGGCCAATTATATTGCATATCCGTCTCTGGACCTTATCAAGAACTCCGAGGCAAACAGTAGGGGCTCCAGACCATATATGGCAGCAATACTCCATGCAAGGGCAAATGGTTGATTTGTAGATTTGAAGGATCAATTCTGGGTTAACATAAAAAAGAGACAATTGAAATTTCTAGGGCATATAATGAGGAAAGAAGGCTTGGAAAATACTCAGTCATTATAGTGAAGACAAGAGGTGTTAAGTTGTTGAGTAGCTCAGGTTAATTTATTAAAGTTGACCTGTTCCATCTGCAGATGAAATAGGTTCTGCCCACCGAGTTTTCTATAAACATACGGATTTTTCACTAGTGAAATTATTTCATGTAAGATCAACAAGCAGGACAGATGAAAACATTGCATAATCAAACTAGCAAGCTTGAGTAAATGGATGGAAGAGCAAGGTGTAGGAGAGATTAGACAAAATTTATTAAGGGCTGCAAAATACAAGAAAATGTGGAGAGCCATGATCACCAGTTCCCTGAAGGGACATAGTACATAGAAGATAGAAAGTCCAGGGAAAAGTGTTTGAATATTTTCAAAAACAATAAACCAGGTACAAACATACAAAATTTCCGCTCACAATCTCTTGCCCAGTAACTTTTATAAAGTGTTGGTAAGAGCTAAGGCAAAGCTAGGTTTGCATTAATGCTACAAAAATACCAAATGCCTGTGGGCAGAGATGATCCTCAAAGAAAATAAAAGTCTGAGCAAGGAGATCTAGATAGCAGAAAAGTGCTTCAGTCCTGGCAGACTTGATTTCCAAAACTATTTCTTGGTACAATCTTTGATGAGAAACACCGAAAAGTGTTGCTCATAGGTTTGGCGGAGAGAGAATTAATGGCCTGGGGCAACTTTACTAGCTGTGAGTTATGCTGTCTAGTTATTGTTCATAGACTTTTGACAGTACTCAAGTGCAAAGAGATGCTGGAACAGATTGTTAACAACAAAACTGTCTATAGATGGAGGAGAAAGAAAAAAATAAACTTTGAACATTCAGAATGAAATTACGAGATGGCATTTTCCAAAAACATCTGGGA